ATGTTATAATAAAATAATGTGCCGCATTTCCATGTTTTTATGATACAACCAATTAGTAAATATTGGCAGTAATAACCCAGAAACAAAAATCATAGTGTTACATAGTGTGATAAATATAATAATAATAATAATAATAATAATAATGAACAAGAATGGCAAAGCCCAAAAGTCTGCATATAGAGATGCCACGGAATACTATGTTGGATCAATTTTGTACCTTTTGTTTTTCAAATAAAATACAGATCTTTTTTATTTAACAGGGCCATTCTTGCTCTCCCCTCCTTCGCAACCTACCGCGAGCCCTGCTCCCAAAAGTACTAATTTATAAAAGAACCGATGCATTAAAACCCTTCAAGTATTTCCGCACAACAACGCAGCCATTTCCTGCTTCCCTTGCCATTCATTCGGGGCACGTTTCCTCCCAAACCAGCAGAAAGTCAGCACAAAAAGGCTTGGCATGGGAATGGTCGGCACGTTCTAGAACGCCCAAGAAACCTGGGAGACGTTCCTTCCCTTCTCTATTGTGATGCTCAAAGCAAAAGAACAAGTACTGTATTGACTTGAGTCTCATGCGCCATCGAATCTCAATGTTCAAAAACAAAAAGAATTACCATATATACGCGAGTATAAGCCAACCCGAATATAAGCTGAGGCACCTAATTTTACCACAGAAACTGGGAAAATGTATTAACTCAAGTATAAGCTCAGGGTGGGAAATGCAGCAGCTACTGGTAAATTTCAAAATAAAATAAATGCCAATAAAATTACATTAATTGAGGCATCAGTAGGTTAAATGTTTTGAATATTTACATAAAACCATAATTTAAGATAAGACTGTCCAACTCTGATTCAACCATCATTCTTCAACGTAAATGTGCTTACGTATCCTTCCACCAACAATAAAGAGAGTAAAATACTGGAAATTTAATACTAATCGTAATAACAGAGTAAAATAATAAATGTAGTAACAATAAAGTAAAATAATAAATATAGAAATAACAATAAAGCGTAAAATAGTAATGTAATAATAATAATTTTAAAAAGAGTAAAATAATTTAAATGTATTTTTTTCGTGTCAGGAGCAACTTGAGAAACTGTAAGTCACTTCTGGTGTGATGTAAATGTAATAATAATAATAATAATAATAATAATAATAATAATAATAAATGTAGACTCTGCAAGCAAGCAAATGAAACAATAAATCACATCCTAAGATGCTGCACAAAGATCGCACAGACAAACTACAAGCAGAGTCATAACACCGTTGCTCAGATGATTAATTGGAGCTTGTGCCACAAATACCATCTGCCTGCGACAACTAACTGGTGGGATCACAAGCCGGAAAGAATTACAGAGAATAAACACGCCAAACTCCTCTGGGACTTCTGGATTCAGACAGACAGTTTTAGAGCATAATACTCCTGACCTCACAATCGTGTTAAAAAACAAAGTTTGGATCGTCCATGTTGCAATCCCAGGTGACAGTAGAGAAACAACTAGAAAAGCTGACATGATATGAGGATTTAAAAATCGAACTGCAAAGACTCTGGCACAAACCAGTAAAGGTGGTCCCAGTGGTGATTAGAACACTGAGTGCAGTGCCTAAAGACCTTGGCCTGCACTTAAACACAATCGGTGCTGACAAAATTACCATCTGCCAGCTGCAAAAGGCCACCTTACTGAGATCTGCATGCATTATTCACCGATACATCACACAGTCCTAGACGTTTGGGAAGTGTCCCACATGTGATCCAATACAACAGCCAGCAGAGTGTCTGCTGTGGACTCATCTTGTTGTGTTTCTAACAACAACAACAACAATAAATAAATAAATAAAATAAAATAATAAATGTAATAAAATTAATACTAGTAACAGAGTGAAATAATAAATAACCATGACTCGAGTAAAAGGTGAGGGGAGCCTTTTCAGCCTACACAAGTAGCTGAAAAACTAGGCTTATACTCGAGTATATACAGTATTTGCTGGTGAATGTCATGCTCACCAACAGCAAAAGGCTCCCTCTTTGTCATTTGGCCAATACAATTGCTCTTTGCTAAGGATTCCTTACTTAAAAACAATTGTGTTGCAACACCAAAGCTTCCAGAAATGGAAAAGGAAACCTTGGGGTGTAATTTAATATGCATTTTTTTTATAAAATACATTTTAAAATACACAAAACAGAGATTAAACAAAGGACACAACATAACCTGGACCCAAACCATGTAGGGCTTTAAAGGTCAAAACCAACTAATTGGCAGCCAGTGTGGGGACTTTAGGATAGGGGTGATATGCTCACTCCTACATGTTCCCATAACCAGCCTGGTTACTGTATTTTGAACAAACTGGAGTTTCTGAAATTGGAACAAAGGGAGCCCAATGTAAAGCACATTAATAATAATAATTTGTTTCTAGACCGTCCTCTCTAACCATGGATATTGCAGATATCCAACCTTGAGGTTATTAGCGCATGCACTAGCATCTTAAGCTCCTCCAAATCTAGGAAGGGTCACAGCTGACTCATCAGCTGAAGCTAGTAGTAAGCACTCCTGACCATTGTCGCATCTACCTGGGCTGACATTTGGAGAGACAGATCCAGAAACACTCCCAAGTCTTTCATGGGGAGTGTGACCCCATGCGGGACTGCTTGACACACCTCCATCCTCACACCAGAAGCGACTTGAGGTTTCTCAAGTCGCTCCAGACATGACCAAAAAAAAAATTCTTAGATTAGAACCCTTGTTTTGTCTGGATTCAGTTTCAATGTGTTTGTCCTCATTCAGCCCATGACTTCCTCCAAGCATTCATTCAGAGGAGAAACACTATCTTTACTTGAAGCTGTTTTGGAAGGCATGGAGAATCAGCATACCGATAACGTCGCAACCCATGCCTATCGACGATCTCTCCCAGCAGCTTCATGTAAATATTAAATAGATAGAATGGCACCCCATGGGATTATTGATTTATTTATTTACAGTATTTATATACCGCTATTCTCACCCCTAGGGGGACTCAAAGAACATTATAGAACTCCAATATGCTGATGACAACGTAGTTTGTGTGCATTCAGAAGACCTAATGGAGCCCCCAGTGGCGCAGTGGGTTAAACCCCTGTGCCGGCAGGACTGAAGACCGACAGGTCGCAGGTTCGAATCCGGGGAGAGGCGGATGAGCTCCCTCTATCGACTCCAGCTCCTCATGCGGGGACATGAGAGAAGCCTTCCACAAGGATGATAAAAACATCAAATCATCTGGGCGTCCCCTGGGCAACATCCTTGCAGACGGCCAATTCTCTCACACCAGAAGCGACTTGCAGTTTCTCAAGTCGCTCCTGACACAACCAAAAAAAAAAAGAAGACCACCTACAAGCCACTCTAAACGCTTTTGCAGAAGTATTTGAGAAGCTCGGCTTCCAGCAGACACCAGCTAATCATTCTGCAATACAGCTTAATGGTGTAACATTAGAAAATGTTGCCATTTCTGCTCCCTTGGCAGCTACTTTTCCACAAAAGTCAACATTGACACTGAAATACAACACCATCTGAGCTCTGCGAGTACAACATTCTTCTCACTCAAATCCTGGAACGATTTCTTCAGTGTTGCCTCTGAAAAATCTTGCAAATCTCTTGGGAAGAAAGGCAGAAAAATGTCAGCATGCTGGAAGAAGAAGCAAAGACCACCAGCACTGAAGCAATGTTCAACTCTGCTGGACTGAATGCCACGTTGTCCAAATGTCCGATCATCATCTCCCAAAGCAGTTACTATACTCAAGAATGGAAAGTGGAATTTTGGTGGACAGGAAAAGGGATTTAAAGATGGGCTTAAAGCTAAGCTGGAAAACTGTGGCATAGACACCGAGAGAGAACAGGGATGCTCTGACTTGAGGCCAGCTGTGACCAGCAGAGCTGTGGAATTCAAAGAGGCTTGAATGGAGGGCGAAAGTAAGAAACATGCCAAGAGGAAGAGGGTCAAGCCATGTTTTGGACCGCCTTCCACCTGGAAACCAATGCCCTCACTGTGGAAGAACATGCAGGTCAAGAGTAGGGCTCCACAGCCACCTATGCACCCACCGCAAAGACACTAGACTTGGAAGGCCATCATACTTGGGCAATGAGGGATCGTCTAAGTAAGTAAGTAAAGTAGCCATAGAACAGCTCCTTTTTTGAGGAGCAGCTATCCTCGACACGCTCTCCTTTGCTGAGGCAGTTTTGGAAGGCATGGAGAAATAGACTTGAGTGTCATCAACATACCCATGCCACTGTACCCCACGCCTATGGATGGTTTCATGTCAATATTAAAAGCATTGGGGATAGAATGAAGGAGAACATGGTCGATAGTATTGAAAGCCACCAACATGGTCGAAAGCCACCAAGAGCCATCGTTAATACCAACAGGGACACTCTACCCTTGTGGGTGTTGAGATGGAGATTGTCCACGAAGGCAGCCATAGCAGCCACAACTCGGTATCCTGCTCTAGAAGCCAGTTTGAAACAGGTCAAGGAAGTGTGTGTCATCCAAGACCGAATGGAGTTGGAGAGCAACTTCCTTCTCAATCACCTTGCCCAAAAAAGGAAGGTTAGACACTGGTCTGTATTTATGAAGATCCAGGGAATCCGGGGAGGGCTTTTTTCACAAGCAGTCTAACTACTGTTTTTTTAAACAGCTTCACCAAACTACAAATCCCAGCATTGCATAGCACTGAGCCGTGGCAATTAAATGGCAGATGACATTCCCCAAATAGAAGCTCAAGGTGCTCACAAAGCAGCTGCCCCTTTTGCCTCAGCTTCAGCACTAAGATGCCCATATGACAGAAATTTAACGCACACCTGCAAGGTAATTAGACAAATAAAGGTGAGCGTTAGATTCGAGTACATACAGTATTTCTCTCCTTCAACTCTCAGAAGGCTTTGCCAGCTTGCCCAATGGTCGTGGATTCTGGAGTCCAAAACACTTGGATGGGCCACAAAAAGCTTGCCCCCATCCGCACAAAGGCCTTCCTTACCTTCTGGGTTTTATCCTTCTGAAACACAAAGACAGGCGGTGCGATGGCTGGTTTTTCTAGAAAAAGATGGGGGAGAAAAGAAGGAAATGACGAAGGCACACCATGTGCTGTTTGTTTGCATCTGCAGCTACTTTTGAAGAAAATACAGTCAAAACGATCTTTCTTTAATAATAATAATAATAATAATAATAATAATAATTTTGTGATTGATGTGAAGTTGACTTGGACTTATAAAAGTAAATAATAATAATAATAATAATAATAATAATAATAATAATGTGTGATTGATGTGAACTTTTAAATTGACATATTCTTCTTCTCATTATTATTTATACCCCACTTTTTGTCTCCTGAAGCAGACTCAAAGCGACTTAACAATAATATAATAATAAAAATAATTTTGTATGATTGATGTGAACTTGGCTCGGACTTTTAAACCGACTTAGTCTTATTGCGCTATGCTAATAATATAACATATTGTGTGTGTGTGTGTGTATATAATGTTATAATGTAATACAATATAATAATGATACAATATAATAGTTGTATACTATATATTACATATATTACTAATATTGCAGTATAATGGTAAAATACTATATAGTAATATATAAAACTAATATTGTGTTATGCTAATAATTATAACACATTGTATATACATATATTGTAACATCTAATATTGATCATAATATTGTATTACAATATAATACTAATAATACAATCTAATAATAATATAATAATATATTTTATATTACATGTAATATTACTAATAACATTGTAGTATAGTGGTATACTACAATATAGTAATATATAATACTAAATTGTGCTATGCTATTAATATAATGTTTTGTATGTACATACTACATGTAAGCTGTACTGAGTCCCCTTCGGGATGAGAAGGGCAGGATATAAATGTTGCAATAAATAAATAAATAAATAAATATTATTAATACCCCACTTTTCTCTCCCAAAGAGTACTCAAAGCGAATTAATAACAATAATTTTGTGTGACTGATATGAACTTGGCTCTGACTTTTAAATGGAAATTATTATTTTGTGTGACTGATGCGAACTTTTTATATATATTTTATATATATTATTTCCTATCTTTATCTTGTTTATTTGCTGGGGCTAACCTATTTTATATTGCTTCAGGAGAGCATGCGTGCTCCATCAATGTTTAACATCTACATATGATCAGCCACTGCCAAAAGGGACAGAGAGTTTAATCTATGCTGATGATCGTGCCATGACTGCTCAAGCAGGGAGCTTTAAAATGTTTGAACAGAAGCTCTCCGAAGCTTTAGGTGCTCTTACTGCCTATTACAGAGAAAACTAGCTGATTCCTGATCCATCTAAAATGCGGACAAGCATCTCGAGCTCTGAGGATGACCTGGGAAGGAATACCACTGGAGCATTGTGGCATACCCAAATACCTGGGAGTCACTCTGGACCGTGCTGACTCACAAGAAGCACTGTTTGAATATCCATCAAAAAGTGGGCGCTAGAAATAATATCATATGAAAGTTGATTGACACAACCTAGAGATCACAACCAGACACAGTGAAGACATCTGCCCTTGCACTTTGCTACTTTGCTGCTGAGTATACATGGCCAGTGTGGAACACATCTCACCACGTTAAAACAGTGGACATGGGTCTTATTGAGACATGCTGCATTATCACAAGATGTCTACTCCCTACACCACTGGAGAATTTACCCTATTTAGCCAGAATTGAACCACCTGACATCTGTCGAGAAGTAGCAGCTTGTAATGAAAGGACCAAGGCACTGACATCTCCAGTAACAAAACGCAGGTTGTAAACTGTTATCAACACAGAGCTATGTTAACATTAACTGTGTAAATTGGTTTAAACTGCACATAAATATAACGAAGAAAATGCATAGGGTATAAGTCTAAATGCTACTCAGTAATTTCCCTCTAGAGTTTTCTCAAGAATTGAGTTATAAATTCACTCTTTCAAATTATATATATTCCTTTTACTTGTGACGGTGGTGAGTATCTTCACTCTTTTGTTAGAACTCTCACAACAAATGATAAGTATTAAGAAAATATTTACACAGTCTTTGAACTGATGAATTAAACACTGGAGTAGTCCTTGAGAAAGTAAACTGAAGTCCAAAATAATGTCCATATAGTTCAAAATACTGTCCGACAAGGAACCCCGGGGTTGAGATGCCTTGTTACGGGCCTTCTTCAAGATTTTTATAACTTCTTCATAAGAGAGTGTGATTCACAACAAATCCCTAAATGGGTGATAACAAACAACATAATAGATATGCCAAAAAGGCACCCAAAGCAAACATTCAATAATGATAAAGTAATTATATACATTCCAATAAGATAGATGACATGCATGTTATTGCTTACATTATCTACGGTATGAAGGTGGCCCTACAGTTAGGTTTTCAATAGTGAGCAATGCAATTACACAGAAGCAAGAATTTAAAGGCAGGGCTAATTGCAGACAGTCAGCTGAAGTGTCAATTCCAAGCAGATAAGGTGGATAATGGGGCTTATTACAAAAAACAGCTGAGATCCAGTCTATCATTCAGACCAGTAGGAAACACTGTATTTAACTTAAAAATCCAGCTTTCCTTTGCAAAAGATAATTCTTAGTGTCCATGTGTGGCTTAGTGTGGATTTTGTCTATAATGAAAAACTTGTGGTAAATGTATGTCCTTTTCCCAGAAAATGTGAATAAAGAGTACTATCATTGTGTTTGTTCCATGATCCTGATCTTGACAAGTCTGGTGGTCATTCCAATATAGAGAAGGTCACATGGGCATAAAATACAATATATTGCATTATCTGTTGTGCATGTGGTAACATTATTTAAGGGTATAGTGATCTTCATGGTTGGGTGTGTGAATTGTTGAGTCTTCAAGGATTGGGAACAACATTCACAATATCCACAGTAAGTATGTCCTTTAATGTTTGGTAGACTTTTTATGGTAGGCTTAGCGAATTCTGATCTAATTAGCATGTCCTTTAAATTTTTGGTTTGTATGCTACCATGGGTGTATTTTGGCAGCCTGGGATATCCTTGATAATGTGCCAGTGTCTCTTGATTATTTTGTAGATGTTTGAGGAAAGTGTGAGGGGCCAGATTATTCTCTTGGAAGGTGATTTTGGCAAACCTTTTAGAAGGTGAGCTCTATCTATATGACTAACCTTCTGAAGGACTGTATTTAGAATCTTGGAGGGATAACCTCTATCTTTGAACTGTTTTTAAAGGTACAAATTTCTGAATCTAGATCCTTGGAGCTGAAATTGCGTTTTAGTCTCATGAGTTAAGAATAAGGAAGGTTTGTTTTTAGACTATGATGATGGAAACTGAATTCTTATCAGTGGATTTCTTGTAATTTCTTACCCTTAATTTGTTATGTGTCTTGTACACTGTAACATCAAAAAAAGTAATCTCTTGTTTACTTTTATGACAAGTAAATTTAATTTGTTTTCATATTCCTTTATAAGTGAATTGGATTTCTGGATATTTAAAACCATTAAGACTAAGGAGCATTTGTTCAACAATGAGTTCCAATTGTTAATGAAAGTGGTATCACCTTGAAATATCCCCGGGGTTTTGTATACACTTAATCCCCTACTAATCATATTTCTCTTGATGTAATCTTACATAGTGGATGCATGTAAATCTAGCCTAATAACGTTTTTCTTGATTTTCTCTTATTCACTAAATGTGCTTTGGGTCTGTGACGATGGGCAGCCCATTAGCCCCTTCATTAGCTAATCTTTTTGTAGCCAATTTGGAACGAATGTGGATACTAAATGAAGCCAAAAATGTCTTCTTACCAGAGATCATCTACTATGGGAGATTTATAATTTTTTTAGTATATAGAACACAAGACACAGCTCCACAGCTTAGTCAATGGATGAACACAATACATGAGCACATTCAGTTTACTTTCTCAAGGACTACTCCAGGGTTTAATTCATAAGTTCAAAGACTGTGTAAATATTTTCTTAATACTTATCATTTGTTGTGAGAGTTCTAACAAAAGAGTGAAGATACTCACCGCCGTCACAAGTAAAAGGAATATATATTATTTGGAAGTGTGAATGTATAACTCTCAAGCCTCGAGAAAACTCTAGAGGGAAATAACTGAGTAGCATTTAGACTTATACCCTATGCATTTTCTTCGTTACAATTATGTGCAGCTTAAACCAATTTAAACAGTTAATGTTAACATAGCTCAGTGTTGATAACGTTTTGTTATTGGTCATAGATATCTGTGTTACTTTGATACCGACATCTCCGGCCCATCTTCTGTTCGGATATCAGCCAACATGCCAATGGCTTAAATCAAGAAAAAGCTTCCTAAGATCTACAGAGATACTCATAGAAACAACCCAGCAAGCGAGAGCCCAAAACTGGCAGGCTAAAACTCAGCACCTCAATCAGTGGCTGAGACCGGATGAGAGACTCCCTCCTGGGCACACAGAAGACAGGGTGACTTGGAAGGCACTGAACAGATCACTTACAATAATGTAGCCTGAGTGGCCAGCTTCTGGTCAAAGAACATTTTGTATATTGCCAAGTGTTTAAATTTGTAGTTTTTTAATGCATTATATGCATTATAACTGTATTCTCAATTTGCTTTTTTATATATTTCTATATATATATTTCCCATCATTATCTCCCCTGGTGCCAACCAATTGTACATATCCAAATATTATATTTTATATATTTATTTCCACTTTATCTCATTGACCTGCTCCCTTGGTGCTAACCTATTTTAAATTTATATATTTTCTATATTTATTTCCCAACTTTATCAGGGGCTGCTGTGGTTTTCAGTTTTGAATATGTTTTTATGGTTTTTAACTGATTTCTGTTAATATCAAGGATATTTAATTATTTTTTAATGTTTGTATATCTGTGGATTTTCAGTTGCATTGAAATGCTTTTTAATGTCAGCCACTCAAAGTCTCCTTGTGGAGAGAAAAAGCAGGGTATAACAACAACAACAACAACAACAACAATGTTGCAATCCCAGGTAACAGCAGAATTGA